GAGTAAAATTGATAAAATTGATGTTATAAGGCTCTTGTTGACAGACTTTCTTAGGACACATGAAGTCACACACAAGTGGAATTTAGTCAAGGAGCACTGCATCTAAAATACCCAAAGATCACCGGCATGCTAATAAGGTCTGTTAGGGACGAGTGAAATTTAGGTGCTGTGATGTCATTGTTTACTCAGTCAGGATTGACCAGCTATTAGATGGCATTCCCATGACAAAGGGGACAGTACAGAACAGACTCAAGACCAGCCATTAGGCCCTGATTCCCATACCTGAGATTTACCTCTAACTGGCAGTTCAAGGTGGCAGTGCAGGGTCACAAACATCACAATGTCCTCGTCTGAAAGCTTGGTGTATTGATTACTGGAAATCCAAGTTTGTCTCATGAAAGAGCTGAAGAGACCTAAATATAATTGTTGTTGTTGATGTCCCAACAGGTTCTTCACAGTGTCTCTGTCACCTGTCTGTTGAGCCTTGGAAGCCTTTAAGAAAACCCTATACCACCTCTGTGGCTCTCTGCTCATAAAGGAGAAATGTTCATTAAAATAAAGGGATCAAACAAAATGGTAGTGAGTTTTATGTTAGTGAGGTTATTGTTTGCTTCACACCCATGAGCTTCTAGGAGATTGTCTCAGTCTCCCAACAGCCAGGACAACCCACCCATGCCAGTCATAGAAAAACTAATCTTTTAATTGAATTAGATAGATGGCTGGCTTTCTCCCATTGCTACAATATTCGTAGTTTCTGGAATTTTCTTATCTTAGTCTCCAGGTTTGGAGTCACGGCAGGCGGCAGGATGTTTCCTTCACTCTCCAGTTTGAAGCTGCGCCCCTGGAAAGCTGATTCATGCTGTGGACTGGACGGATGGCTTGCCGTGTTGCCTTGTGTGCCTGGTGCCAGGTTGGGTCTGAGAGGCCCTCTTTGTGCCCAAGTTGACCTGGCAGTTTCTGCAGGCTGATTCTGCTCTTCCACCCAAGATCTGCATAAACTGTTTTCTTATTTTTAATTATAAAAGCTTATTTGCCACATGACAAGAGAAGCAAGTAGCGAAGGACAGTGAAAGCTGTGTGAGCACCTCAGCATGCAGTCATGCAGTTAATGGCTTCCGTGGCATCAATCCATCTGGGTCTGAATCCCTGGAAGAGCTTCCTGTTTCAGGAAAAGAAGTTCTGTATCATCCTTCACACGGCAGCCCACGCTCATGCTGAAGCTTCCTTTGCCCTATGTGTTTAATGTATGTCATCTTTTGTGCTGTGTAGCTCCTGTTAGCACCTTTGCCCTCTGGGGTCTCTCTCCAAGGACAGGGGAAGTCAAGAGTCCTTCCCCCAGTGACTCACTCCTGTTGTCACTCATGTCTCTCCTTACACAACATCATCTTGGAACCGGCTTCCATAGCACCTCAATCACTTCACAATAAATGTGTCCTTCTAAACAAGCACACACTCTTTGCATATCAGGATGGTTATAACAACAAATAAACCTTGGAGGAAGTAGGCCTCACTCCATGGCTTTGGGGCATACCAGTTACCTGGAATCCTACACTCAAAATGACGCGGAGCATCTGCCCTGGTCAGAAGAGATGACCCAGATCGGTTTCCCAAGTCCCAGCTACTGCCCATATCATGTCATTCATCCCCTCTTACCCTGTTCTCTAACCACTGTGTAATGCTGCCAGAGTTGATGGTGGGCTCCAGACCTTGCCATGCCTGCCTACTTCTTATCTTCTTGTTCAGACTTCTCTCCAAGTTGTGATGGCATATCCATCTTCACTAGCCCAGCCTGTAAGCAAGAGACATTTAAAGACCCCTGAGGCAGTTCTCAGCTAGGAGGACTGAGGGTACTGGAGAGGCCTCTCCCTTGTTTATGTATTGAGACAGGGACTTTTCCATAGATCTGGCTGTCTTCCTGCCTCTGCCCCCCCCCCCCCAGTGTTGGGATTAAAGGGATTAAAGGTGCATGCCAACACTCTCAGCTCTAATTATTTCATTTAAAAAATGTTTTCTTGATAAATTCCCCCTGTATTAGAAAATACGCACTCACAGTACTCAAAACTCTGCACAAAGAAAACATTCTGGCATTCCTACTAAGGAAAAGAGTCTTACTACAGTGTTGAATCACATGGCTTTGTGTATGTTTGTGCACGGGTTTCTGTTTGTCTTGCGGGTCTAGGAAGCTCTAGTGTAATGGGGCTGGGGGAGGACATATGTGGAAGAGTCTTCAAAACCATTGCATGCTGGGAAAGAGAGGTGTTGGTTGGTGCCCCTCTCCAGAGTTGAGGTCTGGAGTTATTGCTCTCCTGACCCCATCTCAACCCTGTCTGGAAGGTTGTAGAATCACCATCGTTCATTGTTTGCAAGACCTTAAATGACTTTACTTTCAATTTCAGATTTGCAGCAGTGTGTGTGTGTGTGTGATCTTGGGCCCCCTCAGCTTATATAAAGGAGGAGTGAAAAGCAGAAGAAAGAGAAGAGGTAAGAACAAGGGGCGGGCAAGCACCAGGCAGGTAAGTACTGGGCTGGGACCGGCAGGGAAGGGATCAGGGGGGTTACTTTACAAGCAATTTCGTCTTGACCTTGACTTGATCTGACTCAATGGCAACAGAGGCTAGTAGAGCAGGCTGACTGTTGTCTGGTCTTCAGGAATCTGTAGCTGGCTTTAGTTCTGGGGGAGTTCAGTTTGTCCCCTTTGGTGGGTGACACATGCAAAATTGCAGCCTGACACTCTAAGGTCTCTGAATACAATGCTCCTCCGATGTCCTCAACTCAGCACAGTGGCAAGTGCAGCAGGGAGAGTCCTGGGTGGGAGGCTGCCTGCTTTGCTAGGCCCTGCTATAGCTCTGGTCTACAGAAAAACAGCATCTTTGCCAAGGAGCTAAGAGGCAATTGTAATCTAAAGAGAACAGTTTCGCCTGTCTCTAAATTACACCCTACTCAGAGTAGGATTGTAAAAATATCTATTTGAAAATACATTTAGTTCATATACCACTGAGTTTCACTAAGCAAAGTACATACATGTCCCCACCCCATACAAGTGTATGCATCTTTTCATGCTCTCATGAGTATGCTAAAGAGAGGCTGGTCATTCTCAAGGGACTTTGCCTGCATTTGAGTTCTCAGGATTCTGAACATCCCCTGCCTTGGTACAATGTCCCCCTAAAGATCATCCATGTTGTAGCATGCAGTAGAATGTCATCCATTTCTCTGAGTAATTATATCCAATTGTGTGGGCTATCCCCATTATGGTAAGTTGTCTGTCTGTCGGTGGGAAATTGTTTTCACATTTTGGGTATTGTGAATATAGCTACCACAATCATTGGTGCTTAATGTCTGCCTGAGTCCTTGTTTGCAATTTTTCATGTACTGTGTATAAATAAGCAAATGTGGAATTGGATCCCATGTTATTATAGTTAATGTTCTAAAGATAGCAATACTATTTTCCACTGTGATATTGTACTTTATTCTTCCAATAATAACACTGCAAAAGTCTACCTTTCCAGATCCTGGTTGACATTCACTTACCTTGGCTTTGTCCTATGTGATAGTCGTCCCACTGGGTATGAAACGATGCCTGCGGTTTCCAGCAGCACTTCCTGAAAGCTGGGCCTGACAGATTATTGAGCAACAAAACCAACTGAGCCTTGAGATAACCTCATTTTTGCTTAAACTACAAACAAGCGAGACAAAAATCTGTTTTCAAGCAAATGCTTAAGTTTGACAGAAGCAAGAGTTAAGTTCAGTTAACCCTGAGTAGTCAACGCACATGAGATTCCATGAGGACAAGTCTGAAACGAGCTCCCCTGACACCCAAAAGAAGGAGCGTTATACCTAAATGGCTTCTTTGTTTGGATTCCTCATTTTCCCAATAGACTTTGACCTTTGACCTTTTCTCATTAGAAAGCCAACACTTTATCTTTCAATCTAGTTTTTCTCGATTCACAACTGAATCATTTTAAAACAAAATCTTTACAATTTTAATGTGCCTCGCAATTTTTTTTTTTTCATGGCAATTGGTGACAATGAATATTGTCTTGTGTGTCTATGGCCATTTGCAAACCTCCTCTGGAGAAATGTCTGGTTCAGTGCTTTGCTTTGCCTACTCTTCAGCTGAGTGGTTTATGAAAAATTGAAGGAGGTCTTTGTTGAGATATTAACCCATTAAAACATAGGAAATATTTAATATTCCTCACCCACTCTTGGGTTGCCCTTTTACTCTGGATATAATCTTTCAGTGCACAAAAGTTTTTAATTTATAACTTGAGCTTTCAGTCTCACATTCAAGAGTGTGATATCCTGAGTCCATGTGAGGCAAAACAGATACCAGAAACATTAGCCCTGGGTTAGCCTATTGCAGTCAAAGTCTTCTGTGTTCCCCGCAAACCAAGTCTGTACTAGGTTGGAGAGAAGCAGGAAAGGGAAGCAGAGAGAGCCTGTAATTTCCTACCGTTATGATTGTGGCATTGTTTCGGTTGGCTATCTGTGTAGCTGCTATGGTATTAGAGTTGCATTTTGAAGCTCCTATTTCCTCATTTTAAAAGTCTGTTCATGGAAAGACCCAGGCTTAGAACTAAGTGGTCTGTCATTTTGCTTGCTTGTCACGGTTGTAATATTCTCTGTGAGCTGCTTACTTGGGATTTTGAAACTCAACGGTCTTGCATGGGTCTAAGGATATTTATGTTGTAGATGCTTTTCCATTTCAACGAAGTCGCATACTAAAGGTATCCTTTGTATGGCTCAGCATGTCATAGGGCTTCAGAGCAGTTCAACGTTTTGGCTTTATTCTTACATTGAAGTGAAACTCAATGAGCAGTGAGTGTCCCCACAAAGCTTCCTTAGAAATTTGAGTGAATGATGGAGAGTCCCCTTTAGCCTGCAGATGTAAAATTACATGCTGATGATGTAGAAGTCTCCCAGGTCTTAAGTTGCTGAGTGCTTGGGTAATGCTGAGACAGAGTAACTGTGATTCATTTGTGTTGGGAGATTCTCCTAGGTTGGTAAGTTGCTATGGCCAGTGGACCAAAAATGATGGCTCCCATTTGTCTGGTGGAAAATCACACTGAGCAGCTGTCTGTGAACCAGAAAGCTGTGGAGATTCTAGATGAAATCTCTCAGCCAGTGGTAGTCGTGGCCATCGTGGGATTGTACCGTACAGGGAAGTCCTACCTGATGAACCGTCTGGCAGGACAGAATTGCGGTGAGTGCCACTAATGGCTCAATCCAACTTCTGTCTGTTTTGCATCTCCTTCCCATCCTAACAAAGAAAGCTCAACTCCTCTCAGCACAGCCACCCTTTCATGCTCGTTTCATAGCTAAATTATTCTACAGTATTTGTTCCTACAACCTTTCCTTATATTAAGGAAGATCTCTCCTGCATGTGTTCAAGGGGATATCTTCTCTAATTCTCTGGACACTGGGGTCCTATGTGTCACTTCCCTGTTCCATGCAAAGGGTTTTCCTTTATCATTTCCTTAGTAATACAAGAATATTTGGCAAGGTATGACCTTAAACATTTTTATTGAACTTCACAAACTTTTATTTGTAAATCACATTGGGTTGTCTTAGCTTTAGTCATTCATTCATTCTCTTTGTTTTTCTGCAGTCAGGGTCTCCCTGTGTAGCCCTAGCTAGCTAGAAATTTATTATGTAGGTCAGACTACCTCAGAACTCACATAGGTCCAATTGTCTCTACTTCCTGAGTTATGGAACTAAAGGCATGTGTTACTTTGTCTTGCTAGTTATTTTGATTATTAATTAATTAAGGGGAATAAACCTTTTCCCTTGCAACTCTCTCCTTACAGGTGACTCTAACACATCTGAAGACCTTTATTTTCAAGAGATAGGATTTTGCTACTTAGCCCTGATTGGCCTAGTGATAGCCAAGGTGCTCAGGCTAGTGCTGGACCAGTGGCAATACTATACTCCTTTCCCAGCCTAAGTGCTAGGGTTATGGTAACTGACACTTTATTGGCTTCAGAATACTGTATTACAGTTACTATAGCCCTCCATGTTGGCTGATTCTTGGATGCCTATTTATTTCCATTTGGAGCCCTTTTGTTAAATGTTCCCTATAGTTTGAAACAGGTGATGTAATAAGAGAGTCTTGGGAAAACAGAGAAATTACCTTCTTAAATGGTAGGATTTACAGTAGGATTTTGAAACATGATTGCTGGGAGGATCCTCTGCATTTCATGTAGTTGTGACCGTAGTTCCAGCAAGAACAACTTAAGAGCCTGCATTTATCATTGTTCAGCTCAGAGACTCACTCCATTGTCTGGACTCATGCTAAGGGAGAAGGTTAGCCTTCGTAGAGGTGGCTCATGGTGGACAAGAAGCAGGGAGGAGGAAGGTTCTGGGGATCAATTATCACCTTCAAAGTCAATGACCTCCTTACTTCAACTAGGTCCCAACTCCCAAAGGCTCTAGTACCTCTCTAAATAGTGCCACCAGATGGTCATCAAACATTTAGCGCACAAGGCTGTGGAAGACATTCCACCACATGCAAAACAGAACACTCCCCACCTTCCCTTAGGTTTCCCTCTGGGCTCCACTGTGCAGTCTGAAACTAAGGGCATCTGGATGTGGTGTGTGCCCCACCCCACCAAGTCAAAGCACACCCTGGTCCTCCTGGACACCGAGGGCCTGGGGGACGTGGAAAAGGTAAGGTTAGTGTTCAGGTTGGTCTCTTTTAGGTTATGTTTTTCTCTTTCTTTGCTGTTTGTAATCTGTTGTTATCTGTCTGTGATGTCTGCAGCCTGAACTGTGGTGGCTGAGAAAAATCAAACTTCATGCTAGCAGCCAAAATATTCTTTTGTTTCTGGAAATTGGAGTGAGTGATTAGATCCAATATATTACAAGTTAATTGAGCAGGTCAATGTTGTTGTTTTCAGCATAGTCTCCTGTGATCCTGTACTTGGGTGGGTGGAGACAGGGCATCCCTTGGGGGAAACTAGCCAGCCAGACTAGTCAAACCAGTGAACTAGAGGTTCAGTGAGGGACCCTGCCTCAGTGAATAGAGTAGGGCTCATCAAGGAAGACACCCAGTGCCAACTTCATGCCTTCACATGAATGCACACATACTTAAACACATGTCATCCTCCCATGGGAACATGCACACACACACACACACACACACACACACACACACACACACACATTTTGCAAAGGTTAAGTACAGTGGGAAACAGTAGTTCTCTGAAAACACCTTGGTTAAATTTCACTAGATATAATCAGACTCATGAGCTGCACTTACTGTAGTATGTACTGTACCTATAGCACATATATTTATAGAATAAGAAATGCCAATGTTCTTCACTGAGTACCATACTAAGAACCTAACACAGTGCTAGGCTTTTGTATGTTATCTTATTTCGGATACTCGAGGAAGCAAAAACATAAAATGAAGAGATTCTCCTTATAACTGTCAGAGTTGTTATTGGTGTTCATGTCTCTTGCCTTTGGACAGGAAGTACCTTCACTAAAATGGTGACCTGTAGACTTCCTCTGGCTCTCGTCTCTTTCAGTCTTGCTCATCACTAGGAATTTCATGAGGGCCTTGTATAGTCTGAGTATCTCACTACCACTGTTTATGTCCCCAGATCTTTACCTGTGTGTGAGGGTGCGTACATGTCTTTATTTAAACCCACAAAGCCTTTTCATGTACATATATAATGCCCATGGGGCTTACACCACATGTTGCTCTGAATGGACTCCCAAGGAGTGCTCCCCTCAGCCCTCTGGCCTCCTCTGTCTTCCAGGGTGACTCTAAGAATGACTCGTGGATCTTTGCCCTGGCCGTGCTGCTGAGCAGCACCTTAGTCTACAACAGCATGAGCACCATCAACCACAAGGCCCTGGAGGAGCTACAGTATCCTGTCAGGACCTGAGCCGCCATGTTTCTCTGGCTGCACTGCATTGCATATGGAGGGTCTGACCTGAGCTGTCACTGGGTGGCTTTTGGTGGGGCAGAGGAGACCAGGGGCAGAAAGGAGTGTTCATCATGATTTATTTTTCCTAAGAGAATCGTGAGAATGTGTGCATGAATTTACTCCTCCTTAACCAAATGGCAGTTATGTCACAGAACTCACGGAGCTGATCAGGGCAAAGTCTTCCCCAAGTCCTGATGGAATGAAGAATTCCACAGAGTTTGTGAGTTTCTTTCCAGACTTCATCTGGACTGTTCGGGATTTCATGCTGGAGCTGAGGATAAATGGAGACAGCATCACGGAGGATCAGTACCTGGAGAATGCACTGAAACTGATCCCAGGTACAGGGAAGGCTGCGCTGGGGTCTGGAAAGGGCTGTGATCTGCTGAGCTGCTCCCATCCTCTGTGGGGTCCTTTTGTATTGCAGGGGGATAGAGGTCTGCAGAGATGCAGATAGGTCATTGGCTGATAATGTTTGGGAACTGGGGTTTAATGTCTTTTGAGAAAAGTAGAGCCTACAACATAGCAAAGTTATTCCAAGCCAAGTTCATTACAGTTTGTATTATCATCTAGAGTAAAGCGTCTAAACTTCTTTAAGGCCAGGCCTCTGTATTGCCTACTTTTGTGTCTGCCTTCCTTTAAGAAATAGCATTTCTCAAAATATATTTCACAGAGTTATACATTGTTCTTCTTATGGAGGATCATAGGCTTTTTAATGCTGGATTGGTTATGTTGTCTGCAAAACAGCTATATTCTAAGTAAACTGACAGATGTTCTTTTTCAGTCTATGTCTTCTCAGTATCCATCACCATTGATCACAATAATCTGCTTTTATTCAGGCTACAGTATCAGTATCAGTTATATTAATGATCTATAAACTATTTGCATGGACATTATTAATCCTATTGGAGTGGATGAAGCCTTGTGTGGAATGCCATTTCTGATATGCTCACTGATTTCACTCTTCTGTCTTTGCTTTCTCAAAATATTAAAACACATAATAGGTGGGAACACATTCCAGTTTCATGTGAGAAACCCAGCTTCCACTCAGACACATGACCCACATCTCATTCACATGGACACTGACACAGACAACATGTATACATACACTACACACATCTACATAAGAGAAAGAAACAAATTTCTCAACACAGCAGTTTCCTGAAGTACTGTCTTAATGATGCACATCAGATCTCTAGGCTTACCTGTCCTACATATGCCCATCATCCTGCCTTTCCTCCCCAGCTGCGAACAACACTTATTTTCTAGGAGTGTGTATTTGTCGTTTTCAAACAATGAATTCTGTCAGTGTCAAAGTAGTTTTCCTTTGGTGGCCATGGCACCCTTCTTAGAATTGCTACTGTTGCTACTTCTTATGCTCCATTATTCTTGTTTGTGGCTCCTCTTTTGGATCCCACAGCTCTTTAACTACAAAGGAATGATTGGGACAGAAATCACATTGAGCCTCTTTCGCTGTTCAGTCACCAGGACACACATCAACAGTATGCTTGATGCCATGCTCAGGTCTGTGAATTTCACCCATATGCTCTTCCAGGGGAGTCAAATTCTCCTGAAATATCTCACCAGACTTTTACCAAGTGCAAACTTGATATACTTTTGACATGCAAAGAAGCGTGCATGTTTATGGTAAAGAGACCCGAGAGTGCGGAACACTCCACATAGCAAGGGCCTCCGTCATTGGCTCTCTGCTCTAAGACTTTCCCCTTTGCTCTGTGTTCTCCCCAACACCAGGCAACAATCCCAGAATCCAAGCATCCAATTTGCCCAGGGAGTGCATCAGACATTTCTTTCCTAAACGGAAGTGCTTTGTGTTTGACCGGCCAACGAATGACAAGGAACTCTTAAAAAAAATTGAGACTATCTCGGAAGACCAACTGGATCCTAAGTTCCTGGAACAAACAAGGGCTTTTGTTTCTTACATCTTCACCTATGCAAAGATGAAGACCCTCAGAGAGGGGATTAAGGTCACTGGAAATCGTGAGTGTTTTGTTTTGTTTTTGAACACACTTCTGCAAAGAGTAGTATATGTTGAACTTATTAGTATGTGTATATTTTTAAAAGTTATCTATACAAAGATAATATACTTGCATCCCTACTCTGAAAAAAATACATGTTTTCTACTTAATTGTAGGTTACAAGTCCTTCTTTAAAGACTTTCTCACTAGAATATCTTGGTAACATACTTACATAAAATTGTCAACTGATAATAAAGTCACTGGTGAAAAGGGACTTAATCACCAATAAAATCAATGTTTAAACAATTAAAGCTGATATATTTTATTTTCATAGGTTATATCTTCTATATTAATTATTTTTTGAATATCAAAGTGAAATGTAATTTTGAAATTGAATATAAATATGAATATAAATACTATATTTATATGTTTATATTTATATGTTTAAAATGTGTAAGTTGATACTATTAAGAAATAATGTGATTTTTTCCTTGTTAGTTCATACAATTCATTTTCTTTAAAATTTTAAATGCAAAATTATATGTTTTATACAGTTGAATTTATTTGGTGGAGATAGATATTAACTTTTAGCCTTGTGAACCAGAAAGCCACAAACACAAAGGGACAATATGAAAGAGATTGATAGCTTATAAAAGGAGGTGAGTGTATATATGTGAGTGTGTGTTTATGAGTGCGCAAATGTAACTATGAGAGATTTAGAAATGTAGCCTTAAGATCTTCTATCCCATTCACGTATAACTTCATATTTATCCCCTAAAACTCCTGGTTTGTGAAGGGCTGGGGACTCTGGTGATGACCTACGTGGATGCCATCAACAGCGGAGCAGTGCCTTGTCTGGATGATGCTGTGACAACTCTGGCCCTGCGTGAGAACTCAGCAGCTGTACAGAAGGCAGCTGACCACTACAGTGAGCAGATGGCCCAGCGACTGAGGCTCCCCACAGACACGCTCCAGGAGCTGTTGGGTGAGCACACAGCCTGCGAGAAGGAAGCCATTGCTGTCTTCATGGAGCACTCCTTCAAGGATGAAAACCAGCAATTCCAGAAGAAGCTGCTGGTAATGTTTGTCTGGCAATTAACTGTCTTGACTCTACACCTTCATGACTGTAGTGTGGCTGCACCTTCATCGACCAACGGTGCTGTGTCATTCAGTGATCAGCATTCTGTGTGTTCGTAGTGAATAGTCACAAAAGTACATAAACCCTTCCCAAACCTCAGGTACCTTTAATCCAGAAATCTCTATAATGGCTAGAAAATCAGTATAGTTTAATAAATACTTTGTTGGATTCTGTCAACATGTCTGTGGATTGCAGTTGTGCCCAGAACACCCACAGCTTTATCTCTGAACTGGTTGCATCTTCTGTACATTCTTAGGAAACAAAGTTTTTTATACCAGACTTTCATTGCTGGCATCTCCTAGTATTCCTTGTTGTATTGTTCATCATTATAATAGAACCATGGGATGTGAGGGCTTTGAGGAATCAAGAGATTGAAGGACACAGCCAGCCTTTAATAGAGAGTCAGTGGCCAGGACAGTCAAGTCCCCCGGTGCTTTGGGCTTTGCAGTTTTCAGGTTCTGAATTAAGTCAGATTGTGGTTATTTATTGACTCTGAGTCTTACTAAACTAGATTATTTTCTTCTGAGAAAGACCGGTCCTTTCACAAGTCTCTGGTATTGTATCTCCTCTACTCCTTCCATACCATTTTATCTCTGTTCATTTCTCTTGCAGGAGCTCATAGTGCTCAAGAGGGCAGATCTCCTGTTGAAGAATGAAGAGGCCTCAGAGAAATACTGCCAGGAAGAACTGAATGGTCTCACAAAAGCGCTCACGGAAGCTGTTTCAGCTGGGACATTCTCCGTTGCCGGAGGACACAGGCTGTACATGGACACTAGGGAGGAGATTGAGAAAGACTATTGGCAGGTGCCCAGGAAAGGGGTGAAGGTGAGGAGCAGGGAGCACAGGACAGGGGTGAAGGTGAGGAGCAGGGGGCATGGGAAAAGGGCTAAGGTGAGATGCAGGGAGCATGGGACAGGGGTGAGGAGCAGAGAGCATGGGATGGGGTGAGAGTGAGGAGCAGGGGGCACGGAAAAGAGGTTAAGGTGATGTTCAGGGAGCATGGGGGCTCAGAGCAGAGGGAAGGGATGTGGTAAAACCTAAGCACACAGCACTGCCTGAGGGAAATAGAAAACATGAGGATACCTTTAGCTTTATGTTTATTCTGGGACCAAACCCAGGGCTTTGCAATATGCTCTACCCATAGCCCATCCCAGTAATCACATGTGGGTTTTAATAGCTGCTACTTACTACTTATGCCTGGAAACACTCACTTCTAAAGAAAGAGGGAGTACTTCTGAAATCGAGGAGAGATAAAATAGCAAATAAACAACACCTTGGTACTGAAGCGCTAAGTGTGGACAATTTACAAGTAGACAACTTTAGTTCTTGAGATGGAACCATGTGAGAGGCAACTAAGTAAGTTATTGCACCCTGAATGCTAACTTCATGGTTCTGCCATAATGGTCCACTTATTGTTGTCTTAGGCAGGGTTTCCATCACTGCGAGGAGACACTATGCCCACAGCAACTCTTATAAAGAAAACATTTAATTGTGGTGCTAGCTTTCAGTTCAGAGGTTCAGCCCATTTTCATCATGGCGGCTGGGTGTATGGTAGTGTTCAGGCAGACATGGTAGTGGAGAATTCTATATCTTGCAGGCAACAGGAAGTGGACTGAACAGTGGGGTGGTATGTTGAACATATATGAAATCTCAAAGCCTGCCTCCACAGTGACACACTTCCTCCAACCAGAGCACACTTGCTCCAACAAGGCCACACCTCCTAATAGCGACATTCCCTTTGGGGGTGCTTTTCTTTTAAACTGTCCCATTGGAGTGCCAATAATTGTAATGATATAACTAACATATTACTCCATTGTTGCCAGTGACACCATGGTGGATTCTTTCCTTAGACCTTCTCTAGTTATCTTAAATGCTCTGGGTGATGCCCTACGCTATTGTGGACAGTTTACACATCTGTTCCACGAGGCCCAGGAGGTGAAGGGGCTCATCCATGAATACATCCAGCAAGAGCAGAGGGAAGTGAAGCCCACACAATGATGCTGCATTTCACATGGGGATGCAATATTTGAGAGCGTCATAGGTTGCAGTGAGCACAACTGCACACAGCGTGGACAGGCTGTGTTGGAATCCGTTATCATTTAATACAGAAGTAGCAATTAATATCCTAGGTATCAACTCCAGAATGAATATATACTGGGTATATATTTGTATTCTCAAGCAGGCCCCAGAGAAAGGAATTCCTTCCAACTGGGCTATCTGCAGTAAGAGCTGCAGCCTGGGATCTCACCTACATAGCCTTACTTTTTCCCTTTGATATAGCGCCGAGAAGCCCCCTTTAATCAGTTAACAACACTAGTTGCAAGTCATGTTCCCCCACCCTGAGACTTAAGTTTGCCAGAGCATTTTGCAAGCCATGTCCTGAGGAGAGACATGAGGCACTGATTTGCTCAAGATCCTACCCAACTTCCTGGCTCTGAGAGATATGCATGCCCTATTGTCAGAGAGGTGTTAAGTGTGCCTATGGGATAGGGGAGATCTCGGGAGAACTTTAAGAAGAAGGAACTTAAGAGAACTTTAAGAGAGCTTTTAGAGAGAGAACTTTTGAGGAGAGAGCTTTTAGAGAGAAATCTTAAAGAGATTTTGAGAAAGAACTCTTTTGGGAAGTCTATACATTTGAAAAATAAAGAGCCATGAGAGGACTGTGTGTGTGAGCCAGCTTATTTCTTTTTGCCCTCAGATCAGAACATTTTAGCAAACCCCTATCTAGCTGCTGTAAGCCTCCTCGTAAACCCCATTAAGGCTGGGTCTGGGAGAGTTAGACATAGGTGGCAGTAGCTAGGATGAATGGGGGAGCCATGAACCAGGAAGACTGTCATCCTTCTGAAGATCATGGCCATCTGTAGGCTTCACCATAGCATTTTACCAGTGAGGCAGAGTGGAGACTGCTGACTCATACAAGTACCCGCCCAGGATTTATCAAGATTCTTTGCTCCTTGGTCCTGCAGGCAAGTGAAGTCTTCCAGAGCTTTCTGCAGTCACAGGCCACCCTTGAGAGTTCCATCCTGCAGGCAGATACAGCCCTCACCGCTGGGGAGAAGGCCCTTGCAGGTACAGGAGCATGTCCCCTGGCTTTCAGGAGGGGTCAGATTCCCACACTGGCTTCCTGATAGAAGCCACAGGAAACTCATCCCCTGATTAGCAGCCCTCTGTTCTTCTGTGGATGCTCACTCTGAGAGCAACAGGAAATCCACCTGTGTGTCAGCCAGACGGGCAGGGTCTCCTCCATCACCTCCAGAAACTCTCTCTGCGTGGTGTGGACCAGTGTGGAGTCTGCAGTTTCCTTTCAGATCTGAAACACTCTGTGGGTTCTGGAATGTAGACATTTTACTTGACCCATCACTTTCTTCCCCTTATCCACCCTGAATCCCCCATCACTTCTCCCCTCCCTGAATCTTCCTGGGACAGAGGAGAGGGCCCAGAAGGAGGCGGCCGAGCAGCAGCAGGAGCTGCTAAGGCAGCAGCAGGAGGAGCAGCAGCAACTGATGGATGCTCAAGAGAGAAGTCACAAGGAAAACCTAGAGCAACTGAGGACGAAGCTGGTGCAGGAGAGAGAGCAGCTCATCCAAGACCAGAAAATGATGCTGGAGAAGCAGCTGCAGGTGGGACTTCCTCTCTCCCTGGTGGTCCTCTTCCCCCTGGTGGTCCTCATGCCCCTAGTGACCCTCTTCCCCCTGGTGGTCCTCATCCCTTCATGGTCCTCATCTCCCTGGTGGTCCTCCCCACCCTAGTGGTCTTCATACCTTGGTGGTTCTCATCCCCTGGTCATCCTCCTCTCCCTGGTGCTGCTCATGCCCATGGTGGTCCTCATCCCATGGTGGTCCTCATCCCCCTGGTGCCTAGGCTCTTGGGTTCCCAGACACAAGGGGAGAAGGTTACAGCTGGGTCATGGGAGGAAGCATCATTGCTATGAGTTATTGTTTGGATCCATAAAAGACTCCAATTTCTGTTCTTCCAAGGCATCTTTGATTTTTGCTCTATATTTAGATTCTGGGAAATACAGGTCTTCATGGCTGCTGGTGGACACTGCACAGTGCTGATAACATTTGAGCTTTTGATGTGAGAGATTTTAAGATGATCTCATGAGGATTCATTAAACATACTTTAAGCAGGTACAGCCAGTAAGAGTTGCAATTGGTTTGCCCTGGGGCCCACAAACTTTCAGGATGTTCTATGATGACATAAAATGTCCAAAATACCCAAGAAGAGTGTAGCAAACAACAGCTTCTGAACTTGGCTGCTGGAGTCTAGGGTAGATAGACTCCTGGAGTTGGCACAGGAAATTTGAATGATTCTCTTACTGTTCACCTGAAAATCATAGAACACAGTCCTTAACCAGCTGGTGGGCTGCCATCATCTTCCCTTGCTAAGTGATCATGGTAGCAAAACAGCAACTGTGGGCCAGTGTTAGTTTTTCAAGACATAGTTCCAACACAGACAATGTTGTTTGTGCTAAATTATTTTGGTATCTAAGAAATCATTTCTCAGAGCAAACTAAAGACAAAGTTCTTAAACAAATACCTTTGGGATTTAAATTTTTTTTAATTTCTGTCCCTACTTTGACTTTTTTAGGTCCAAAAGGCATTGCTTGCAGAAGGATATAAGAAGAAATCTGAGGAAATGAATGCAGAAATAAATAATTTGAAAAATAAGATTGAGAGTATAAGAAAAGAAAACAGTTCATTTCTGGAGCAAACCCTGAATGCCTTTGCTGCAGTTCTCTGTGCTCCTATTGTACTGGCTGTGGAGGTTGTAAAAGGCATTGCCGCACTATTTTAAGACTCATTCCTCATAGGAAAGGAGACCGTGTATATATGCTCTCAGTTTTTAAGGTGCACAGGGACTGTGACTATCTGTCCCATTTTTAAGGTGCACACTCATTTTCATTCAGCAAACATGAAAGTGCTTGTTCAGTCTAGAACGTCAGTGCCTGCCCCTGTTCATCTAAACAAATTCACATATGTCTTGATAGGTGAGGTTTGCAGTGCCATATGGGGGAGATCCTCTGAGCCATCACTTGTTATGGTGACAAATTTAAAGAGTTGGTATAAACTTTAATTTGTGCAATAAACTTTAAATATTGGCAGTATAAACTTTAATATGCTCCCACTGCTTAGTCAGGAAACACAATCTCGGTGGGGATTCTTGTGTTCAAATCAAAGTTGAGCCCAGAGATACTTTATCAAATGAAATTGATCAAAACACCACACAACTATTCCACACAAATACACACACATGCATGGATGCAATGGCTTCTGAAAGATCTATGAGAATCTAGGCTCTGGCTTCATCTGGAGAGACCAGGATGCAATCGGGGTCACAGTGACAAATGTATTCATTAAATGCTCAATTCAACCATTTATATTTTATGAACAGAGCTTAAAATAAATACTATTATACCTTGATATGATATTGATGGTCATGTTTGCAATGACACGGAATTTCCCACTGTTTTAAAAACAGGAGTCTGCTACGTGTTGCAACCAGTTCTAAGTTTTGAGTTCTAGAAAGCATAAAATTTACACCCTAATGCTGCTTTACATCATAATGCCCTTTGAAAACAGATCCCTATATGTGTTTCAAAATGGAGGGCTCAACTTTGTGGTGAGTTTTGAAGTATCAGTGAGGGAACCTCTTATTTTGTCTCCAAATTCTCTATGAAGGCATTAGAGGCACAATTACTACAGGTCAAGGATGTGCACTGTGTAAAGGCTCCTGACATCCTTGTAATCTAGGTGGTGATTTCTCTGTGTTGTCTTTGAGACAGGGACTCATGTCTTTCCAGAACTAGACACGTGGATGGGGAACAAGATGGTAGTCACAGGAGCACTAAAAAAAGTGCTTGACTAAATACATTGGCTGATGTGGCCTCGGCAAATTAAATGCCAGGCCTTTGTGAACATTTGGGATTTCAGTTTGGCTGTGATGTTTCTGGACAAATGGAGTTGGAGGAGCTAACATATCAGCATGCTGGATCTCACAGAAGATGAAATCTGGAAGCTATAGTGGCAGCAATGGGAAGGAACACGAGGCAAAGTCCAAACTCAGTCCCCAGAGAGGGGGAAGGAAGGCATAGCGACTGTGGAAAAGTGGGATGGATATAAATGAGACATTTCAAAGAGGAATGAGGAGAAGCATTTGGGATGTGAGATAGCAAAACAGAGTTTCTGTTCCAGGAATCTTCTGGAATAAATACTCAGACACCAGTGAGAGTGGGAGAGCAAAACTGGGGAGCCTAGAGGTAAAGAAAAGCATGGGTGAGGTGAGTGTCTGTGTGCAGGAAATGAACCCTGGGCTCTGATGGTGATAGTCTTGAACATGAATGGGGGACTGTTGGGTTGTGCCAGAGCCACAGACCACAAGGCAATTGCTCCTTTCTCTATGGAGACCTCTTATGACAGAAAATGCCCAGGAGATCGAAGACCCCAGGATAACTAATTTCTTCTAATATGGAACCCATGCATTGAGAAGGAAACAGTAGCAGAGTCTGAGACACCTCACTTCACAGCCTGCAGGGGAAGATGTCCAAAGAAGTAGCCATGGAAACCACTTCTGTCACCTCTTTGTCATATTTTATGAGTAGCCACAAACCAATTTGTTGCCACTCCCATCATATGCAGACACATTGTCATATTAAGCGGATAAAAGCATACTTTTAAGGAGACTTGAATTCAGTCATCTAATAGATATATACTTGCTTTGACTATTTGCCTCTGTGGAGGACAGTGGGAAGGTGCCGAGGATCATGTGGCTACATCATGGTTACAATACCTGTACTTGGTGGCATAAAGCAGATTCATAGATCACAGTGAAATTCCTTGAGACCACTGTGAAAGAATAAAGGGTCTACCAGCAGTGTAGAAAGACAGCTAGAAATGACTCTGGGCCTTCACTGGGGAAGTGATGATTCAGATGCATTTTTACTAAATGCATAGCTATGCAGGAAATGCAGGAAGGCAAGTTTGATGTTTTTGCCATTGAACACTCAAGTGTTGAAGCTGAAATGAAGTGAGATATCAGGATGGGCTCTCAGGAGCCAGGCTGAGCAGGATCTTTCAGATATGATAAGGATTTTATCCTAACCACAACAGGAAACAGAATTTTTGTGCAGGAAAATGGTTTGTCAGTAGCTCTGACTGCACCAAGAATGGATTAGAAATATCCTGAGGTATTTACTGCCTATGCTGTCTGTCCTCTGGATGTCTGTTTTGTGAGTCTGAAGTTGTGCCCATCTGATGGCTGTCGTGTGATTCTGTTTGTCCCCGTGTCTGTCCCTGTGTGCCTGTCTGTCTCTGTGTCTGTTGTATGAGTTCTGTGTATCTATCCCTAACAAAGGCTTTGCTCTGTCTTTATTGAACAGCACAAAAAAAGTCACTTGGGAGAAGGAATGGGATGCTTCATAGAGAACTTGAACAGTTTAACAAGGAATGAAGTCACTGTGTTCAAATGACCCAGATAACAAATATCAATGTTAATCAACCACATCCATGAACGTTTGTTTCAACATTTATGGTAGAAGCTGATTTCCACTTTTGTATTTGCTGCTTTCAGCAAAGGCTTCATACATATTACTCTGGAGTAGGGGAATGGAAGAGTGAGTTAAGATTGCAGCTATGCATTGGCTTAGGTTGTAAATGTTGATTACATGGGGAATCCAAGGATATTAAGGTTTTGGTATATTGTCCTCTTAAAGACAGTGTATTGGGTAGTTTTATGTCAACCCAACACAAGCTAGAATGATCAGAGGATGGAGCCTCAAATGAGAAAATGTCCCCATAAGATTGGGCTGTCTGCAAGCCTGTAGGGCATTTTTTTAATTAGTGATTGATGGGGGGAGGCCCAGACTATTGTTAGTGATGCCATCCCTGGGCTGGCAGTCTTGGGTTCTATAAGAAAGAAGGCTGAATAAGCTACAGGGAGCAAACCAGTAAGCAGCTCCCCTCCATGGTCTTTGCATCAGCTCCTTCCTCTAGGTACCTGCCCTGCTTGAGTTCCTGTCCTGACTGTCTTCAGAGATGAACAGTGATGTGGAAGTGTAAGCCAGATAAAATCTTTCCTCTCCAACTTGCTTTGGTCATGGTGTTTCATCACAGCAAATAATAACCCCAATGAATATAGACAGATTAAACAGGCTGAGCCCACAGAAGGATGGTAGTATTATGTGACCTCAAGACATATTGCTAACTCTGGCTGTGAGGTCCTGCCAAAGTTTCAGCCTCTGAGGGTGTATGAGAAATTTTCATAATGTTACATCAACATAGATGATGACAGCAGTAAGAATGGTGATGACATGGTTGTGTTGAAACAAATTCCTGATGATAAAAACAAACAACTAATGCTGGTTAAGGGACTCCAAAGAAAGGGGAATACTTGTAGACTGGTAGTAAATTAATACAATTAATTAATTAATTAATTATAGGAATCAGGGAGTTTCTGAAAAATGAAAAAAAAAACCAAACAAACATGACTATCATGGATCCATCTATTCTACTCTTTGTTACAAACCCAACGGTTTCTAAATCATGACCCCACAGACATACCTTACATCAGAAGTCAGTTTATAGAATCAGCCTATATATCCATTGAAATACAAAAGGCCCTTCTACCTCTCTACCAGCCAGACCACCCATCTGCTTCTTCAGGGTCTAGCCTGTCCAGGGCTTTAGTTCATGAAATGGTGCCACATTCAGAATTGATTTTTTTTATCTCTGCTAATGCCAATCCTAATTCTAACCCTGTCACATGACACTCCTGCTTTTAATTTCCCATGGACTTCCATTCTGATTCCCATGGTTAACTATTAATTTACAGTTAGTCTACAAGTATTTCTCTCCTTTTCTTTTTTCCTGTCCATTGTTCAGTATTACTCATTCTTTTTTTTTTTTTTCCTTAAAGACAGCCATCCGACTGGAATCTTGATGAGGGATGCCCTTCTGTATGCTACGACTGTATGTTTCTCTTATTGGTTGATGAATAGAGCTGATTTGGCCAATGGACAGAATTTAGCTATGTGAGGATTCTGAACAAAGAAGCATGGAGAAGAAAGACAGAAAGCAGATGTCATGTAGCCATGAGGGAGTCAAGATTCCAAGACATCATAGGTAAGCCAAGGCCACGTGGAGATACACAGATTAATAAAAACGGGATAATAATTAAGAGAGAGCTAGACAGTAAGAAGTCTAAGTCATTGGCTAAATAGTTGCAGCTGATATTAAGTCTCAGAGTGGTTAGTTCAATAAGCAGCTGCAAGGACCCAATAGGTAGAGAGAAAACTGGTCCAGTAGGGCTTAGACTAGACAGACAAAAATCACCCTCAACAGAATCTAGATGCTTTGATTTGCGTTTCCTCAATGACTAAGAAGGTCAGTGTGTCCTATGTTTGTAGTTTTTGTTTTGAGTACTGTCATATTCAACTAGTTGGGGTATTTGGACTAATTGGACTAATTGGACCATTTGTTGAATATTTCAGATGTTTAATATTTTGAGGTCTTTGTGTATTCTGGATATTAATCCATAGTAGTTGTGTATATGATACTTTTCTATTATTCTGTAGGTTTTCTCTTTGCTCTGACAATTGTTTCATTTTCTGTGTTTTAATTTTATATGACCCTATTCATCAATATTACTTTTTTTTTTTTTTTGATGCTGGAGCTCTTGCAAAGATCTTGCCTATTACTGTATAGGGAAGTGTTTGCCTATGTGTCCCTTAAGCAATTTCAAGGTGTCAGATCTTATACTGATGTCTTTGAAGTGATTCATCCGAAGTAAGTGGTTGGGATTTGGGTTCCTTTTCCTGTGTGTGTGGACATCAATTTTCCCCAGCATCATTTGAATAGGATACATTTTCCATAGTCTATGCTTTTTTGTACCTGTATTTTTTTAAAAAAATCAAGTGTTCATAGCTATGTGTCCTTATTTGATTCCTTTGGTGAACATGAGTACTTTTGTGCCAATACCATACCACTTTGTGTTAGGACAACTCTACAAGTAATTTGAAATCTGGTGTGACTATTATATGTCTCCATGTAGATTATATGTCATCTTTCCCTTTCTGTGGAGAATGTCATTGGAATTTTGGTGGGAATTGCACTTGGTCTATGTCTGTCTTTCAGTCATGTAGAACCATTTTTATGATTTTGACTCAGCTGATCCACGAACATGGGAGCTCTGTCCATCTTCTAGTGCCTCCTTATAACATGATAAATAAAAGACCCAGAGGCAGATAATGGGGTTCAAGCTTTAGTAAGAACAGTAAAGCAAAGCACCCAACCCCTAACTCTCACCTCAAGCTCAGGCTGAAAGGGCTGATCCACGCATGAGCTCTTCACCAAGCCTCAGATTGCTGCCTCTCTTCAGTGTGGCTGGAGAATCCTGAGACTTCCATGTCTTCCTATCCTTCTTGATACTGAGCCTTCCTGTTTTCAGTGTGACTGGAGAATCAATACCCTATATTGAGACCCTGCTCCTGTCTTATATACCCCCCCCCCAGTGCTGGAATTAAAAGCGTGTGAGCCCAAGTGCTGAGATGAGATCATCTTTGTGTGAGCTGCTTCTCTTTAGGACTGGATCAATCTTGCATAGATCTAGGTGGCCTTGGACTCACAGAGATCCGTCTAACTCTTAAGAAGAAACCTTGAGTCCAGCATGGGGCCTCGAACTTGTAATCCCAGCACTTGGAATGTTGAGACAAGAGGAGTTTGAGGCCAACATGGCTTGCATCATGAGTACCAGGACACTTTTTGGGATACAAAGAGAGGCTCTTTCTCAAACAAACAAACAAACAAACAAACAAACAAACAGGGAGGGAATCTCAGAAGACTTTGTGTAAATCTTCAGTCTGTCCATGTTGGGACTGACTTATAGGCCCATAATGGTTACAGATCAATGACCTACACTCTTAGCTTTCCAGTGCTCCCATTTTACCATTTCCCCCTTGTAACAGACACTGATGTCCTGTCATAGCTTCCCAAATGGTACATACATTCATATCTCTCTCTTAGATGGCTAATTCAATAGAAAATATATCATGCCACTGGAGTTGAAGGCCTTAACGGCTCCCTGTCATCTCTACTTGTTTTTAAAGATTATTATACCTGACAAATCTGTTAGGAAATATAGAGGCAATGTCACCACTGTGTTTAGGTGATTTGCTTAAGTAGATTTTTTTTTTTTTAAAAAAACAGTTGGTTATCACCTCTACTTCATTACATGATTTGTATTTATAATACGTGATAAGTTGTTCATGGCAATATGGATTTCCATAAATTCCATCTTTGTAGGGAGCAGTCCCTGCATTCTCCAGTACAAGATGGTGCCTGCATCCGGCTGGCGTTGAGAGTAAACAAGTCAGTGGCCAGGTGCAGGGTGATTTTCCCTCCCTTGGCCTCTGCCTCTCCCGTGGTGTCATATGGGCCGATGGGCTGCAGCCAGTCAGGAGGTGACACGTCCGAGGCGAAGGTTGTAAACCTATATAAGGGTTGGGTTTTGGATGTTTGGGGTCTCCGCTCTGTAAGCTTATGCTCTCCCTCTCAAGATGCATTAAAGCTTTACTGCAGAAGGATCCTGAGTGTGCCACATCGTTCTTGCTGGCAAGACAGTAGCGTGGGACACATCTTGATCTTAATACATTTTTTTAAATGGGAAAATTTAGCCATTTGTACCTTATGAAAAGATGGTTTTGAGTTAGCACATGATGGCAAACTCTTCAGTAATGGCCTGCAAGACACACAAAGAGACTGCTCTTCCTTTGTCTTTGCTTAGAGTGGACAGGCTACATCTAGAAAAAGCTGGCAGAATATCTGCTCAAAATCTGTGTTTCCTAACTTCGCCTACCCCACCCAAGTTAGCTGAAGTCACATGCCACACATAGATGTTAGGCCTCTTCTCTGTTTCAAAGGGTCCTGCAGACCCAGGCAGGTGTCCAAATCAGCCACTTTTGTATTACATCTGACAATGTTCTGTCACCATACCTATCTTCTTCTTATCTTTAGAGTTATGAACAACTCTGTGTTATTGAGAGATTGATTTTGAGTTGTGTAGACATGTTTCTGAGATGGAGCCATGTCACTGGGTTTGTGCAGTTGGAGACCTTAGAACGTTTTTCCACTGAGTTACCTCACTGATTCTACTTACTATTTTCTAATGGCTTCTTGTAAAAATGATTTTTAAAATCATTAAAAAAGAATAGTTTCTGTTTTTGAAAACGTGTTAAAAACATTAAATCTGTTTATCATTGAAGCACAGGGTATTTCCACTGAGAGAAATATGCTTATGCTTGCAACATCCATGATTGTGTAACTTCCCTTAGTTTTTATTGTGCCAATAACACTGGGAAGGATTTTCAGGCAAAGAGAATGTAAAAGCTCTTCCTGACCTCCCAATTATTGACTAACAAGGCTTTGGATGACTTTACTTTCAGTTTCGTTTTTGCAGAAGCATGTGATTTTTTTGCAGAGTGTGTGTGTGTGTGTGTGTGTGTGTGTGTGTGTGTGTGTGTGTGTGTGTGTGTGTGTGTGTGTTGGGTCTGCTTATAAAAAGCGGAGCACAGGAAACTACAGGAAGGAAAGCAGAGGCAGCCTTAGGCAGCAGAGACTTGCATCCATCCTTTGGGAACCAGGTATATTTACTTTTTCTTCCTTTCAGAAGTAACTTAGTCTGGAACCTGAACTTAATTTCCAGTTAAAAGTAGCTATGGAGGGGAGGTCAGGAGAGGCAGGTTGTGTGTTGTCTGGTATGCAGGCGTCTGTGGCTGGCTTTGATGTTTGAAGCTCAGTTTCTTTCCTTTGATAAAGGACATTGCAAAGGGGCAGCCTGACACTCCAGGCTCCCTGCTCTGGCAGCTTCAACTCAGGGCATTGACAAGTGCTGTGGGAACAGCCCTGGCCAACAAGCCTGAAGGCCTCCCTGGGACCACAGCCTCAAAAGCCCTGGCCAGGCTCACAGGCAACTGCAGTCAAGAAGAGCATATTTTCTGTGTAGGAATCATATGAAAAAATTTCAGCACAAAAGCTTGGCAATGTCTATTTAGAAAAAGATTTAGTTCTATCTCAGTAACTTATATTAATCATAAGTAGATAGGCAGAACCCTCTTTATCGATGGCTAGGGTATATGTGAGATATATAAATCATATAGGATTATATGCATTTTTCCATGAGATTGAGCTCATTCTCATACATGGTGCAAGCTGCAGAGAACCTGTTACCTAAATTCTCAGGATTCTGTACATTCTCCTTACTTGGCATAATGTCTCTGAGCTCATCTGTGTCGCAGTGTGCAGTAGAATTTCATTCTTTTCTCTGGATGATACTGTTCTGTTGTATCTGCTATCACACTGTGTTAATCTACACATCTGTAGATGGTCTGTTGATGGGAGATTGGGTTATTTCCACATTTTGGGTATTGTGAATATGGCTGCCATGACCATTGCTTTTCAAAAGTCTGTCCAAACCCTCCCTTATGTGTTGTATGTAATCAAAGCAGAGTTCTTGGATCAAATGTTGCTAATAATTTTATAACACACAAAAACTATGCTAAATGAGGTGGTATGATTTTCCATGCTTAGCTGAGGTGCAGGGACATCTGAATTGTTTAATCCTAGTTCACACTTACTTGTTTTTGTTTTGTGTGGTAATTGTCCTGCTGGGTCCCAGGTGACATCTTGTGGTTTTGGGTGACACTTCCTCAGTGTTTCCTAAAACCTCCTAATAATGAAGACTGGGATTGAAAGATTATTGAGCAACAAAAGCAAGTAGGTCTTAAAATAACCTCATTCTTGCTTAGACTGCAAACGCAAGTGAAATCAAGCAATTCATTTCAAGTAAATGTGTACATTAGCCACTAACAAGACTCAACTTCAGTAAATTATAAGAAGCCAAGTCACATGAGATCATATGATTGTAGACTTTTACACCAGGTCCCCAGCCCCACAAGACAGAAATACTGTAACTAAATTTTCTTCATTTTGTTCCCAGGTTTTCTTATTAAAGCTGACTGACATTTCGTTGTGGGGAAACAGATGCTTTATCTTCCAGGTTGATACTTCCCAGTCTGAACACAGCAAATTTTAGATTTTTCTTTTATGGAGTGATTAGCAATATTGATTGTTATCTTATGTGCTTTCTGCCATGCCCACACATTCTTTGGAGAAATGTCTAATCCAGTGTTTTCCCCACCTTAAAAATTGAGTTGTCTATGATAAATTGCAAAGGCTCTTTATTTAAAATAATCTTGTTAAATTTGTTTAATCTTTATCCCATATATAATTTACATTACTCTTCAGCCATTCTTGGCTTTCCTTTTTTGTACTATTTTTATAATCATTTGGTGCACAAAAGTTCTTAAATATTACAAAGTAGATTTTATCTACTTATTCACTCATATTGAAATTTTGGTATCATATTCAAGAAATAATTCCTACTTGAAATCCAAGTTAGGTAAAACAGAGACCAGGTAGCCTCAGGTTAGCCTGCTGCAGTAATTACTGCTTTGGTTCCTGTAGACAGAACCTGTGTCAGGCAGGGAGCAGGATTAGGCACGGAGCTCACACTATTTATTCATCTGGACATCTCAGTGTTTGTGGAATTCATGGATGTCTCTCAAACTCCTATAGATTATTCAGCCACTTTAAAATCTATTCACAGAGGGAAAAGGGGCTTAGAACCCACTGGTCTGCTATTTTGCTGGGTTGTTAAGGTTTTGGAAACCCACTAATCTTTTTGGCAGGGTGCACTCATTCCTAACTAGCAGGTACTTACAGATTTTAGGAGGTCACATACTAAAGACATTCATTCTGAGCCTTAGCATATTGTCAGACTTAATGAAGGTAACCATTGTTGGGGTTTATTATATTAAAGTAAAACTGATAGCTGCAACCCCTGTCTTACCGAAGCTTCTTTAGAATTTTGGAAGGACAAAGAAGAAAAAGGAGAATGTCCTCTGTATCTATTCACTGGCAGTAGGAATGTTCAATTGTCATCAGTCCTAAGCAGCCTAGAGCTTGAGTAACACCGAGGCAGAAAATGGCTTTGTATTCTTCCTGCAGTTTCTTCTAGCTTGGCAAGTTGCTATGATGACACCACAGATGAGAGCCCCCATTTGTCTGGTGGAAAACCACATGGAGCAGCTGTCTGTGAACCAGAAAGCTGTAGAGGTTCTGGACAAGATTTCCCAGCCAGTAGTAGTCGTGGCCATTGTGGGATTGTACCGTACAGGGAAGTCCTACCTGATGAACCGTCTGGCGGGACAGAATCACGGTGAGTGGCATGCTGGGTACTGGCCAAAAGTTTGACTGTCTTATAATTTCCAATTATAAGAAAGCAAAGCCAAACTCCTTTCAGGAAAGCCACCCTCTCATGCTAATTTGCATGAGTAATTCCTGCTCCCCACTAATTGGTTTCTGCATTCTTTCCTTCCATTCCATTAAGAAAATTCTCTCCTAGGAGTGCTGGAGACAGGGCCTTTTCTGATGCCCCTAAGCAGCAGGATCCTGTATCGGTCTCCTGTGTCATACAACAGGTTTTCTTTTTTAATAAAATATTTCCCTCACGATAGAAAGTCTTGAATATTTAAGACTTTGTTCAGCATGGTGAGACTGGACAGACAGTCTAGAGGATAAGAGCACTGGCTGCTCTTGTGGATGGAAGGAGTTCATTCCCTGAACCCATGTGACTCAGAGTCTATAACTCCAGCTCTCGAGGAACTGATACCCTTATTTCACCTTTATGGGCACGGGACACTTGCATACAGGCAGACACATTTATGATGTTCATAAAATGAAATAAGCAAATCTTAAGAGTTATTCATTAAGAAATAAGTAAAAAAAAACCTTAAAAGGGACTTTATATCCTTTTACTAACTGAATACTCCTGTTTTGCTTTTGGTATTTTTCTTTAATACCTTTGAATACAAACTACTCAATTTTGTTTTTCTAGCTGTTTTTTTTTTCTTCTTCTTCTCTTTTTTACGTCTCTGACTTGGAGCCCACATTATTTCCCACAATTTGTAAATTGTGGTTTTTTTTTTTTTTTTTTTTTTTGAGTCAGTGTTGTTGGTTGGCCTGGTTATAGCTATGTAGTCCTACCTGCTCTTAAACTAATGGCGATTCTCCTGACTCTTCTCTCTTGCCTACAGAGATTACAGGTGTGTCCAACTGTGACTGGTTTTGACACTGTCACTGCAGCCACCAGAGAGCTCCATGTTTTCTGATTGCTGGACACCTCTTTGTTTCTGTTTGGAGCCCTGTGTGGCTCCATTCTCATGTTAAATGTCCCCTATGCTTGAAGTAGAAGACTCATGAGGGTGTATTTGGAAAGATGAAGCACTGTTTTGAGTGTTGAGTTGCATAACCTGCCAAAGTTACTCTTTACATCTGATTTCCTGTGCATCGTCCTCTTCTGTGTCCAAAGTACCAGAGAGAACAACCTAAGGGGAGGAACTTATCTGGACACCTGTTGGAGTCATTACTCCTGGGACCACAGTGAGATCACAGAGTCATGGGAGACAGATGGACAGAGGCTGAGGAAGGAACTGGGGACCCAGTTATAAGTTCCAAAATCACTCCTCTGGAGACCATATCCTCCAGCTAGGCTTCAGCTCTTAAAACCTTTGGAATCTCTCAAAATGGTGCTGGCTGCCATGCACTACCATTTTAAACCAGGAGGTCCCTGGGCACTGAGATTTTAGCTCACGAGGACTTTGGGCACTGATGTTTTAACAAAAGAGATTGCTGGGCCTTGACTTCTTAGAACATGGGGCCTCTGGGCACTGAGTTTTAGCACAGGAAGTTGTCGGGCACTAATGTCTGGCACTGAGGTTTAGCACATGAGGCTATCTGTGTAGGACGTGCACATACCAACCCTGACTCCTCACCTCTTCCCTCAGGTTTCCCTCTGGGTTCCACCGTGCAGTCTGAAACCAAGGGCATCTGGATGTGGTGTGTGCCCCACCCCACCAAGCCAGAGCACACCCTGGTCCTCCTGGACACCGAGGGCCTGGGGGATGTGGAAAAGGTAGGATGAGGCAAAGGCTGACTCTTATGAATCCTTGTGATCTAATTGATTGATCTGTTTATAAATAGATCTAAGTTCTACAGACTGAACTACAGAGATAAACACTGATTTATTTAGATTTCACTCTTAGATAAGGTCAGATTTTTTTTTTTTTTTTTTTTTTTTTTTTTTTGAGACAGAGTTCCTCTGTGTAGTCCTGGGTGTCCTAAAACTTGCTCTGTAGACCAGGCTGGTCTCAAACTCACAGAGATCTGCCTGCCTTTGCCTCCTGTGCTTGGGTTAAAGGCATGCACCATGTGTGGTGGTCAAATGTTTTATATTAGGGAAAAAATGCTTTCATTTCTTGCCATTTGGGTGAATGATTTCATTCAATCCAAGAAAAGTTTATTTAGCAATTAAATTCCTGGGTTCTAGGCAGAGTAGTTAGATATTAGTGAAAAAACAAAAGCAAAAACAATCAAACAAAAACAAAGGATTTTTCTTCAGGGATCCCTCCTAGTTTCATTGAGAATCTCACCTGTGTGTACTCTGATATAGTCCAGTACCAGGAAATTCAACCCGATCCTCTCCTGTCCGAGTCACGCCAGAAAGAGCGAGCGCCTTCCTGGCCCCCTCCGACCTCCTTCCTCAGGTCACCTCCGCCCATCGCTCCACCCCCCAATGGGCGTGGTCAGTGCTACAGAAGGACTACCTCACTACAATTCCCCTTTTAGTCTAAAGAAAAGATTTAGGCTTAATACAAAACTATATACAAAACAGTGAATAACAAGTGTGCTCTAAGAAAAGGAAAATCGAGAACAAAATGACCTACATATCTAGTCCTAGGGTGAGGGCCATATGGAGTTTACAATAGAGTTGTCCTAAGCTGGAAAACGTAAGTCTAGTACCTAATATATCTAACTAGGAAGAGAGAATAATAGTTGTGATAGTTTAATCTTCAACCTCATCAAGACCTGAGAAGGAAATTAACAATACTAGAGTAGACAGGAAATGCGGATGGACAACTTCCAAAAGGTGCAGCAAGGACAGAAACAGCAAGCCACCTGAACAGTCACCCTAGGTCTCATAGCGACGTCGGTACACCCAGATTTGGCTAAGGCCAAGAGAACTTGACAGACCACAACAACAGCAGGGAAATAGAATGGCTGTCTTACCCTGACTTGGCAAGGTCAAGCAGTCTTCTATATTTGTCTCCTGCAAGCACATAGGACTGCATGTCCAAATCAGTGGTCAAGGTGGGGGCAATTCTATGCCCAACAGGCCATTAGCTGAGGCGAGATTGAACTCCAGCAGGAGCAACAACAGTGTCCAACATATTTTCGGGAAAGTGCTGTCAGGAGCAACAGTGTCTCATGTCAATGGAGTACTAATATTAAAACATTTAAATGCCATGTTCTGCATGTCTATGAAGTGATTGAAGATTAAGCATCTATATCTGACTAATCTCATAGGTACAGGAAATGTGAGTGAAGATAATCTGTAATACTCGGGAACTTAGCTAAAAAGACTGATTAAAACTTTCCTGAGTAAAGCAGGAACAAATACTTAAACAATATAACTATTTACATATACCTACATGTAAATCCCTAAAATAGAGGTAGAGTATAAGTGTCAAGACAAGAGGTAGAACTATAAAGGGCAGCAAGATAAATATCCCAAATTGTATCAATATACAAAATGTCTTGAATACAGGAAAAGTATACATACATAGAATATGGTAAAAAATAATGTGCATAAAATATTATAAGTGGAAACATTTAACACAATATAACAAAATATAAACTTAATTTTACATAGCTTACCACATAGGAATACATAACAATGTAAGCTGTAAAATACTATCTCATTCATACTCAAATTCTCAAGGAAATAGGCTAATCTACTTATATCCCATCTAAACCATACCTTTACCCACCATTCCCTATTCCTGTCTAAAAGATAAACCCAAGTGTAAGCATCACCCAATCCCAAATAACTAAAACCAACCCAAAGACGATGACTATTATCCCAAAATTCCAAGGGTAGGGAAAGGGGGCGTAGTCATATTAAGATTACTTCCTGCTGAAATGGGACGATGATTGCTCCAATGGATCCTGTAGGAAGAAAATTTTTAGCAACCAAATTTCTCAACAGAACTGGCTGTGACATATGTAGTTAGTCACTGTGTGGCAGAAAATTCTTGACTGTAGTTCTATTTGAAACTGGCCAGGGTGTAATAAAAAGGTGCACCATTACAGCTAGCTAGTCATGAGTTGTCTCGAGCAAAACAGTCTCAAACCGGTTTTAGGGTGATGTTTGTAGTTCCGATGCATCAGGTTGAGTCAAGTGGAAATGATGATGTGGGGCCCCATCTTCTTTCCGGAAAGTTCAAAGACTCCTGTTAGGAATCGTTATTATTCCTTGTGGAAAAGTTACACATCAATATTAAAGTAAAATTTTCAAGTTTTAAGGCATGCATTAGGGAAAGACAACAATAAGCATTAAAAGTATGTGAGAAAATTAGGATTAAAATTGCATAAGATATGAGTCCCCAGATTTTGTTTTCTTCTGCCTTACACCAATTGGCTTCTTGATTTAAGGCAGAAACCATGAATTTAATCTTAACAACATGCTTGAATTTAGAGAAGGAAAGCCAAATCCAACTCCAAAGCCAGCATTGGTTTACAAAATTTGGGACTTCAGGAATACTAGATAGTAGAGAGAAATAGATTTCTATATAGAAATAGTTTACTACAATTAATTTTTTTTTTTTTTTACCATATATCAGATTCTGCTTCCTTAAGTGATTGTTTCTGAAGAGCTGTCTTCTCTTCTGTAGGCAACTACATGTTCATTGTCTTTTGGCTGTTTGATGATAGGTTTTCTCTGTTTTCCTGTAAAAACAAGAACAGAACACTTCCCCTACCTTTGAGAGGCCTCTGCACACCTCATAGGACCTAGTTTGTTGGATGACTTGTCATTTCTCTTCATTAAGATGTTTCTCTTGTTCAACTCGGATCTTGATTAACTTAGATGGTATCCATAGTTTTTCTTCTCCTGTAGATACAAATGCAAAACCCCTACCCCAACGTAACACATATCCTGCTTTCCATTCTGAGGTCAGTACATCCTTGAAATACACTGGCTGATTTAGTTCAGAAGTTTTTTTCTATTGTTCAGTGTCTTTCTGCAGCTGTTTTTCCTTTTTCATCAGCATTAAGAAAGTTTAATGTTAATAAAGCATTATGTAATCTGTGTTTGGGTGTTTTGGTTCCTCCTGCCTGTTTATGGAGCATTTCTTTTAAAGTACGATTGGATCTCTCAACCACTGCTTGTCCTGTAGGATTGTGTGGTATACCAGTTATGTGCTTTATCTTGTAATACTCAAAAAACTCTTTCAATTTGCTGGAGACATATGCTGGAGCATTGTCAGTTTTTATTTGTGCAGGTATGCCCATAATGGCCATTACCTCTAAAAGGTGCATTATAACAGAATCAGCCTTTTCAGAGCTCAGAGCAGTAGCCCACTGAAACCCTGAAAATGTATCTATAGTGTGATGTACATATTTTAATTTTCCAAATTCTGCAAAATGAAACACATCCATTTGCCATATTTCATTCCTATTTATACCTTTAGGGTTACTGCCTGGTGGTAAAGGAGTTTGGTTATAGAATGAGCAAGTAGGACATTTCCTTACTATTTCCTTGGCTTGTTCCCAAGTGATAGAAAAATCCTTTTTTAAACCTTTACTGTTCACGTGGTGTTTCTTATGAAACTCTGAGGCTTCTAGCACACTTCCTATCAATAAACGATCAATTTCATCATTGCCTTGTGCTAGAGGACCTGGCAGACCCGTATGGGATCTGATGTGTGTTATATATATAGGATGAGTCCTCTTTCTGATAGTATCTTGTAACTGTATAAACAATGAAGTTAATTCTGTATTGTCAGGAATAAATTCTGCAGTCTCAATGTGTAAAATGACTCTCTCTGCGTATTGAGAGTCAGTAACTATATTGAGGGGTTCTTTAAAATCCATAAGTACCATGAGAATGGCATACACTTCTGCCTTTTGTACAGAATTGTAAGGGCTTTGAACCACTTTGCTAATATTGCTAATATTGATTTATATCCTGCCTTACCTGATTTATTTGCATCAGTGTAGAATGTATGAACTCCAGAAATAGGTGTTTTTCTTACAATGCGTGGAAGAATCCAAATCGTTTTCTTTATGAATTTGATTCTCTCAGTTTTGGGATAGTTGTTGCTAATTGTTCCCAAAAAGTTACTGCAAGCTCTCTGCCAATATTCGTTATCTTTCCATAAGGAAGAAATTTCCTCATTAGTTAAAGGTACTATAATTTCTGCTGGGTCCCTTCCTATTAGCTGACGAAGTCTTAATTTACCTTTTATAATCAAGTCAGAGATCTTTTCTATATATGTTTTCAGTTTTTTATTCTGTTTATGTGGTAGGAATATCCATTCTAATATGATATCTTCTCTCTGCATCAAAATCCCTGAAGGATATTCTCTAGATGGTAATATAACCAGAATACAGTCTAGGTTTGGATCCACACGGTCCACATGTGCTTCTAGTATCCTCTTTTCTACCCATTCTAATTCCTTCTCAGCTTCAGCTGATAGTATTCGTGGACTATTCAAGTCCTTATCTCCTTTTAGGGCCATTTTCAAGTTTTTCAAATCATGCCCTTCTACTCCAATTATGGTTTGCAGTTGAGAAATCTCTCCTAGTAATTTTTGAAGATCATTAAGAGCCTGGTAGCGATCTCTTCTGATCTGTACTTTTTGTGGTCTAATTTTCTGTAGACCTATTTTATATCCTAAGTAGTTGATAGACTCTCCTTTTTGTATTTTTTCAGGTGCAATTTGTAATCCCCAGCGAGGTAAAACTTCCTTTACTTTCTCAAACATTTTTTCTAATATTTCTCCTTTAGAGTCAGCTAACAATATATCATCCATGTAATGATAGATTATGGATTGTGGAAACTGTTTACGAATT